CATATTCAATGAGCAGTTGGACTCCATCTCTCAACTGGAAGAGTGACAAAGAGTTTGCAGCTATCCTTAATCAACTGCGAATATGAAAAAAACACCCTCTAGAAATGAAAATCATTATAATTGAAATTAGGTACTCAGTGCATGAGTTTCACAGAATTTTTGACAAAGTTAAGGAATTATTAGTGATCTGAGATACAGAACTGAAAGAGAATATCTTTCAGCTGAGCTCCCAGAATATAACTTCCCAAAGATTTAAAAAGAAAAAAATTTTGGCTGGGTGCAGTAGCTCACACCTGTAATCTCAGCACACTGGCAAGCAGATCACTTGAGGTCAGGAATTTGAGACCAGCCTGGCCAACCTGGTGACATTCCGGTCTCTACCAAAAAATACAAACAATAAACCAGGCATGGTGGCGGGTGCCTGTAGTCTCAGCTACTAGGGAGGCTGAGGCAGGAGAATTGCTTGAACCAGGAAGGCAAAGGTTGCAGTGAGCAGAGATCATGCCATTGCATTCCACCTGGGCAACAGAGTCAGACTCTGTCTCAAAAAAAAAAAAAAAATTAAAAAGGCAATGAAAACCAGAAAAGAATGCAGTAAGTTTTTTTCAAGGAGCTAAATAATAATGATAATTTTTATGACCAGAGAAAATATTCTTCAGGAATATTTTACACAAACCAAAATTAACATAGTCTATAACCAGCAGCCCCAAATTAAAGAAAAAGCTAAATGGTATTCTGTAGGCAAAAAGGAAAATGATCCTAGAAAGAAGTTCCCAGGCGCAAGAGGGAATGAAGAGCACAAAAGTGGTAAATGTATGAGTAGATCTAAATAAACATGGGCTATATAAAACAATCATAACAATTTCTTTTCTCCTTTATTGATCTTACAAAAAACAATATGCAGAAATGGAAATCCATGATAACATTAGCATGTAAACAAGGGATCTTTGGGAGGCTGAGACGGGTGGATCACCTGAGGTCAGGAGTTGGGAGACAAGCCTGGCCAACATGGCAAAACCCTATCTCTACCAAAAATATAAAAATTGGCTGGGCATGGTGGCAGGAGCCTGTAATCCCAGCTACTTGGGAGGCTGAGGCAGGAGAATTGCTTGAACCTGGGAGGTGGAGGTCGTAGTGAGCCAAGATTGCACCACTGCACTCCAGCCTAGGCGACAGAGAAAGACTCTGTTTCATTAAAAAAAAAAAAAAGGGAGGGGGTAAATAAAGTACTAATAACCATTAGAATTTGGGATGTCATGAATGTATTTTCAAGTTCAGATATAAGCCCTTATACTTACTGTAAATTGATTTTCAACAAAGGTGCTAACATGATTCAATAAGAGAAAGGATGGTTGTTTTTCTGTTTGTTTGTCTGAGACAGAGTCTCACTCTATAGCCCAGGCTGGAGTGCATTGGCACCATCTTGGTTTACTGCAACCTCTGCCTCCCGGGTTCAAGAGATGCTTCTGCTTCAGACTCTCAAGTAGCTGGGACTACAGGCACCTGCCACCACACCCAGCTAAGTTTTGTATTTTTAGTAGAGTCAGGGGTTTCACCATTTTGGCCGAGCTGGTCTTGAACTCCTGGCCTCAGGTAATCCTCCTGCCTCTGCCTCCCAAAGTGCTAGGATTACAGGAGTGAGTCACCATGCCTGGCAGAATAGGATAGTTTTTAATCAGGAAATGATGCTGAAACAATTGGATACCCACATGCAAGACAATGAATTTAGATCCTTGCCTCATACTATATACAAAAAATAAACTCAGAATGGCCAGGCACAGTGACTTAAGCCTGTAATTGCAGCACTTTGAGGCCAAGGTGGGAAGATCGCCTGAGGTCAGGAGTTCATGACCAGCCTGGTCAACAAGGTGAAACGTGGCAACTAAAAACACAAAAAAATTAGCTGAGCCTGGTGGCGCCCACCTGCAGTCACAACTGAGGTGGGAGAACGACTTGAGCCTGGGAGGCAGAGATTACAGTGAGCCGAGATTGTGCCACTGCACTCCAGCTTAGGTAACAGAGTGAGATTCTGCCTCAAAATAAATAAACAAACTCAAAATGGATCATAAACATAAACGTAAGAGCTAGAACTATGAAAATTCTGCAAGAAAACATAGAAGAAAAATTTTATGGTCTTGGGTTAAGGCAAAACATCAAAAGCACAATAAGAGAAAAATATTAATAAACTGAACTTCAAAATAAAAAACTTTTGTCCTTCAAAAAACACAGTAGGCCAGGCGCGGTGGCTCATGCCTGTAATCCTAGCACTTTGGGAGGCCGAGGTGGGTGGATCACCTGAGGTCAGGAGTTCAAGACCAGCCTGGCCATCATGGTGAAACCTCATCTTTGGTTTTTTTTTTTTTTTTTGAGTCGGAGTTTCGCTCTTGTTACCCAGGCTGGAGTGCAAAGGCGCGATCTCGGTTCACCGCAACCTCCGCCTCCTGGGTTCAGGCAATTCTCCTGCCTCAGCCTCCCGAGTAGCTGGGATTACAGGCATGCACCACTAGGCCCAGCTAATTTTTTGTATTTTTTTTTTAGTAGAGACGGGGTTTCACCATGTTGACCAGGATGGTCTTGATCTCTTGACCTCGTGATCCTCCCGCCTCGGCCTCCCAAAGTGCTGGAATTACAGGCTTGAGCCACTGTGCCCAGCCATCTTAGGTTTTTAAAAAATATATATAAATTAAAAAAAAAAAAACACAGTAAAGGAAGTGAAAAAACAAGCCATAAATCTGGAGAAATATTTGCAAATCGTATACCTAAGAAGGGATTCATGACCAGAATATATAAAGAACTCTTACACCTCAGTGATAAGAAGACAAGTAATGGGCAAAAGATCTGAATTTAGTTGAGCGGTCAAGACACACATAAAAAGATGTTCAATATATTTAGTTAAGTGCAAATTAAAACCACAATGAAGTAATACTTCATACCCACAAAAATCAGTATAATTAAAAAAACAGACAATAACAATTATTGATGAAGTGGAGAAACTGAAATCCTTATACATTGCTAGGAGTGTAAATTGGTGTGGCCACTTTAGAAAAAGTTTGGCAGTTTCTTAAAATATCAAGCATAGATAGATTTATCTATTTTATCTATGTTTTGATATCAAACATAGATTTATCTTTGACCCAGCAGACTTACTTCTACATATTTACTCCAAAAATAAAAATGTATGTCCACCCACAGTCTTGTACATAAATGATCATAAAAACATTATTCATAGTGGCTGAAAAAGTGGAAGCTATCCAAATATGATGTTTTCACAACTCTGTAAAATCACTAAGAAATTGTTCAATTGTATAGTTAAAATTAGTGTATTTTATGATATGTATATTTTACCTCAATAAAGCTGTTAATATCTGGCATGGTGGCTCATGCCCATAATCCCAGCACTTTGGGAGTCTGAGGTAGAAGGATCCCTTGACTCCAGGAGTTCGACAGAAGCCTGGGCAACACAGGGAGACCTCCACTCTGCAAAAGATTTTAAATAATTAGCCAGGTTTGCTGGCACAGGCCTGTAGTCCCAGCCACTTGGGAGGACAGCTTGAGCCTGGGAGTTCCCAGCTACAGTGAACCAAGATTGTACCAGTGCACTCCAACCTGGGCAACAGAGCAAGACCCTGTCTCAAAACAAACAAAATCAATGAGGCTGTTGAAATTTTTTAAGTAAAATAATATATTCTGTAATCTAGAGGATAACATCTAAAACAGAAGCAAAGTAATGCATATTTTCCAGACTAAAGAGGAAAGGAAATAAAATTACAAAAATAGTTTTTATTTTATATTTATTTATTATTACTATTTTGAGACAGGGTCTGGCTCTGTCACCCAGGCTGGAGTGCTGTGGCTGACCTCTGCTCACTGCAACCACCACCTCCCAGGTTTAAGCGATCTTCCCACCTCAGCTTCCCGAGTTGCTGTTAACTGCAGTTATGCACCACCACAACCTGCTAATTTTTGTATTTTTTGTAGAGATGAGGTTTCATCACGTTCCCCAGGCTGGTCCTGAATTCGTGAGCTCAGGCAATCTGCCTGCCTCCACCTCTCAAAGTGCTGGAATTACAGGCGTGAGCCACGAAGTCTAGCCTAAAAAAATAAGTTTTTTTTAAGGCCGGGCGCGGTGGCTCACGCCTATAATCCCAGCACTTTGGGACGCCAAGGCGGGTGGATCACGAGGTCAAGAGATTGAGACCATCCTGGTCAACAAGGTGAAACCCCGTCTCTAAAAATACAAAAATTAGCTGGGCATGGTGGTGCACGCCTGTAGTCCCAGCTACTCTGGAGGCTGAGGCAGGAGAATTGCTTGAACCCAGGAGGCGGAGGTTGCGATGAGCCGAGATCATGCCATTACACTCCAGCCTGGGTAACAGCGAAACTCCATCTCAAAAAAAAAAATGTTTTTAAAAAACGCATCTGGGCACAGTGGCTCATGCCTGTAATCCCAACACTTTGGGAGGCCGAGGTGGGCAGATCACGAGGTCAGAAGTTAGAGGCCATCCTGGCGAACACGGTGAAACCTCGTCTCTACTAAAAACAAAAAAATTATCCAGGCGTTGTGGCACATGCCTGTAATCCCAGCTACTTGGGAGGATGAGGCAGGAGAGTCGCTTGAACCTGAGAGGCGGAGGTTGCAGTGAGTCAAGATGGCACCATTGCAGTCCAACCTGGGCGACAGAGCGACGCTTGGTCTCCGGAAAAAAAAGGCAAGAAAGGGGACAAAAAGGAACATAAAACAAGTAGGACAAATAGAAAGCACATAGATTTAAGATCAAATATGTTAGTAATAATGTTAAAGTGTAAGTGGACTGTGTGTCATTTATCTATGGCCTCTCAGGTTCAAATTCACCCTGTTTTCTGCTCTGTGCAAATGGTTCTGGGCCTTTTGTTTTCTCTTGCCAGATGGCACACAAACTATCAATAGAGGGCGCTCGAGAGACCTTGCAAAAAGAAAAGAGCTTTACTTCCTGTTATCCCTGCACTACATCCTGAGGCTCTTGCAGCATGTACTCCTTCCTAGCATCCAGCTTCTCCTGCACACATGACCACTCCAGAGTCAAGTACTTGCCCCTTCTCCGGCACCAGGTTCCTGCGGTGCACCGTGGCGGGCTGCTTCCTCTTCCTCCTGTGCCTTTGATGCAGAATGCCTCATGTCAGATACCTCTGGTGAACAGCTTTCCCTTTCCTGGGCACCCTGGCGTGAGGAATTCCGGTAAGTTCCAGAGGGTAGATTTCTAGAAAGTTTCAGTTACCTGGCATCAGAGAGACTTCTTTGCCGTCTGGTGACCCATGGCCATGATCTGCTTGCCCTAGGGTGGCAGGGGTGTGAGCTATACTTTTTCTTGGACGTTCTACTTCGGAGTCTGAGGTAGTAGCTGTTCCCTTTTTTTTTTTTGACAGATTCTCGTTTTGTTGCCCAGGCCGGAGTGCAGTGGCCTGTGTTGGCCTGTCTGGTCTTAAACTCCTGATCTCAAGTGATCTGCCCGCCTCGGCCTTCCAAAGTGCTGGGATTACAGCAGGGTGCCGTGGCTGTTCTTTTAACCACTATATTTATTAAAATTCTCTCTGCTTCTTACTAATCAATCACTGTTACCCTAATTTCATTTAGTATCATTAAATAATATTTAATATTATTATTTTCAGACAGGGTCAGTTATGTCACCCATTTTATTTAATACTTTATATTATATTTCCTCTTCAAATTACCATTGTGGTCTCTGGCTTTTGATTGGACCTAGACTGATACATGCACTAAAATGTTCTATTTAAAGACAGAAAATTTCAGACCCAATTAAAAAAAAATACCCAAATATATTTTGCGTTCAAAAGGCATAACTGAAACATAATAATACAGAAGGATTGAAAGTAAAAATATGGAAAAATATGTATTACAAAATGGCTGACCAAAAGAAGCTGTTCTAGCTGTTAAGCACAAGTAATTACCATTATAAAGAGGAGCACTTTATAATGATAAAAAGGTTCGATTGGCCCGGTGCAGTCTTTCACGCCTATAATCCCAGCACTTTTGGGAGGCCAAGGCGGGTGGATCACGAGGTCAAGAGATCGAGACCATCCTGGTCAGCAAGGTGAAACCCCGTCTCCACTAAAAATACAAAAAAATTAGCTGAGCATGGTGATGCACGCTTGTAGTTTCAGCTGCTCGGGAGGCTGAACCCAGGAGGCGGAGGTTGCAGTGAGCCGAGATCGTGCACTTTAGCCTGGGTAACAACATCGAAACTCCTCCGTCTCAAAAAAAAAAAAAAGGATCGGCCAGGCGCGGTGGCTCGCACTTGTAATCCCAGCACTTTGGGAGGCCAAGGCGGGTGGATCACAAGATCCACCTGGAGTTCAAGACTAGCCTGGCCAACATGGTGAAACCCCACATCTACTAAAAAAATACAAAAGTCAGCCTGGCATTGTGGTGGGCACCTGTAATCCCAGCTACAGGAAGACTGAGGCAGAGAACTGCTTGAACCCAGGGGGTGGAGGTTGCAGTGAGATGAGATCGCGCCACTGCACTCCAGCCTGGGCGACAGAGAGAGACTCCGTCTCAAAACAAAAGAAAAAAAAAGTTCAATTTACAGGAAGGTATAAAAAAATTCTGAATTTCTACTAGTAACATGGCCTTAACAAACAAAATATAAAGCAAATATAGACAGAACCATAAGAATAAATAGATAAATTCTTAATCCTGGTCGGGCATGGTGGCTCATGCCTGTAATCCCATCACTTTTAGAGGTACATTCAGGTGGACTACCTGAGTTCAGGAGTTTGAGACCAGCCTGGCCAACATGGTGAAACCCCATCTCTACTAAAAATACAAACATTAGCCAGGTGTGGTGGCAGGTGCCTGTAATCGCAGCTACTTGGGAGGCTGAGGCAGGAGAATTGCTTCAACTTGGTAGGTGGAGGTTGCAGTGAGCCAAGGTCGCACCACTGCCCTTCAGCCTGGGCAACAAGAGCAAAACTCCGTATCAAATAAATGAATAAATAAAATCCTTAATCCTAATGGAAGATCTTAATACTCTTCTCATTAATTGATTTAAAAAAAGAAAAGAAAATCAGTTCCTAGATTCAAAAAATATAATTTAAAAACTTGCTTTTATTACTTGCTTTAATTGCTTTCAGAATTCACATTTTTTTCTTTTTCTTTCTTCTTTTTTTTTTTTTTGATATGAAGTCTCACTCTGTCATGCAGGCTGGAGGGCAGTGGCATGATGTGGGCTCACTGCAGTCTGTGTCTCCCAGGTTCAAGCGATTCTCCTGCCTCAGCCTCCCAAGTAGCTATGATTACAGGTGCAAGCCACCGGCTAATTTTTGTATTTTTCGTAGAGATGAGGTTTCACCATGTTGGCCAGGCTGGTCTTGAACTTCTGACCTCAAATGATCGACCCTCCTCAGCCTCCCAAATAGCTGGGATTACAGGCATGTGCCACCACAGCTGGCTAATTTTATAATTTTAGTAGAGACGAGGTTTCTCCATGTTGGTCAGACTGGTCTTGAACTCCTGATCCCCAGGTGATCTTCCCGCCTCCACCTTCCAAAGTGCTGGGATTAAAGGCATGAGCCACCATGGTGACATTTTTTTCAAAGATAAAAAGATCTCAATTTGCTTCAAGTGATTTTTAAAAAAAGATAAAAAGATCATTTATAGAAGTTGACTATTTGTTGTGCAGTAGAGCCTAAACACATTTCAAAGGATTGAAATGATATATAGTACATTTCTGACCAAAGTTAACCTAATATAGCAATATATTTTTTATACAAGAGAATAGAAAATATTCATATGTTTGGAAATTTGAAATACATTACCAAGTAACTCATAGATCAAAGAAGAAATCACAGTGGAAATTAGATAACATTTTGAACTGAATGATAATAAAAATACAGCCTATTAAAAGGTTGTGTGATGCAGCTAAAGAGTAGTTAAAAGCTAATTTATAAGCTTAACGTGTGTATTAGGAAACAGGAAATGGATCTACTCATTCATTTCAGGAGGTTAAGGAAAAATACGACAAAATAAACCTCAAAATGTCAGAGTAGGAAAAAATGAAGATAAGAGTAGAAATTAACAAAATAAAAAAACTCATAGAGTTGAGAAGATCAACACAGCTAAAATTAAATTGATAAACCTCTGGTGAAACAGATAAATAAAAATGAAGAGAAGACACAAATAACCATTTGTTCTAAGCTATTAAAAAAGTTACTAAGAGGCAATTATGAACAATTTTATACTAACAATCTTGTAGTTTAAGGCTAGATTGGGCAATATGATGAGATCCCATCTCTACAAAAGAGACAAAAATTAGCTGGGTATAGTGGCATGTGCCTGTAGTCCTAGCCATTAGGATGGCTGAGGCAGGAGGATCACTTGAATTTGGGAGGTCAAGGCTGCCATGAGCCATGTTCGTGCCCCTGCACTGTAGCAAGACTCTGTCTCAAAAAAAAAACGAGAGAGAGAGAGAGAAAAGGAAACTAGATAATCAAAATAATCTTATAGCCATTAAACAAATTGAGCCTGTAATTAATTGCCACAAAAAGCTTGAAGTCAAGATAGCTTTACTGTATACTTTCCTGAAACATTTAAGAAAAATAATGCCAATTAAAAAAATCTCTGTCAGAGGATATAAGACCAATATAATGAACTTGACGCCAAAACTCAGTAAGAATATAATAAGAAATGAAAAGGACAAGACTATTATGAAACTAAAAGCCTTTCAAAAAGTAAGTGAATAAAAATTTTTTGTTTTTGAGTTGGAGTTTCCCTCTTGTTGCCCAGGCTGGAGTGCAGTGGTGCAATCTCGGCTCACTGCAACCTCCGCCTCCTGGATTCAAGTGATTCTCCTGCCTCAGCGTCCTGAGTCACTAGGACTACAGTGGCCTGCCACCACACCCAGCTAATTTTTGTTATTTTCAGTAGAGATGGGGTTTTGCCATGTTGGCCAGGCTGGTCTCCAACTCCTGACCTCAGGTGATCCACCTGCCTAAACAAAATATTCACAAACCAAACACAGCAAGATAGAAATAAGGTAATACATTATATTAGTCTGCTCTGACTGCCATAGGAAAATACCAGAGAGACTCTGTGGCTTAAAAAACAGAAATTTATTTCTCACAGTTCTATAGACTGCAGAGTTCACGAGAACGGTCCCAGCAGGGTTTGGCTTTTGTAAGAGCCTTCTTCCTGGTTTGCAGATGGAGGCTTTATCCTCACATGGCCTTTTCTCTGAGAGCAAGCATGCGGGAAGAGAGAGTACAAGAGAGAGCTCTGTGGTGTCTCTTCCTATAAGGACTCTAATATTATGGGATTATCCCCATCCATCTTTAGAACCTCACTGAACCTTAACTACTTCCTGAGAGGCCCCATTTCCAGATATAACTGCCTTGAAGATTAGAGTTTCTACATATATTAATAATGCTAATATTAACAAACTACAGGTGTGTGCCACCATGCCTAATTTTTATTTTTATTTTTTAGTAGAGACGGTCTGTTCCCCAGGCTGACTTTGAACCTAATAATAAATTTTGCAGGTACATAAACATTCAGTCCATAACATTACATCATAACCAAGTGGGATTTATTCAAGGAATGCAGTGTAATTAACACATTATCAGAATAAAAGAAAAACTATAGGATCCTTTCAATAAATGCACAAAAATAGCATATGATGCTATTCAATGTCGGTTAGTTGATAAAAAACATTTCTTAGAAAACTAGGAATAGAAGGGAAATGGCTTTTCTTTTCTTTTCTGTTTTTTTGGAGATAGGGTCTGTCACCAGGCTGGAGTGCAGTGGTGCGATCATAGCTCACTACAGCCTTGAACTTCTGGGCTCAAGGGATCCTCCTGCCTCAGCCTCCTGAGTAGCTGGAACTACAGGCATGTGTCACCATGCCTGATTACTTTATTATTTTTCAGTAGAGACAGGGTCTTGGTATGCTCCCCAGGCTGACCTCTATCGAACTTCTGGGTTCAAGCTATCACCCTGCCTCGGCTTCCTAAAGGAGATTAAAGGTGTGAGCCACCATGTCCAGCCCAGGAACCTTTTTAATCTACCAAAAATGGACAGTAAGCATCATACTTAATGGTGAAATGGTGAAAGCTTTCCTTTTGCTCTCAGGAATAAGACAAAGTTACCTATTGCTACTTCTGTTTAGTATTGTGGTGGCTCTAGTAAGAGGAGTGAAACAAGAGACACACACACGAAAGCTG